CTGCTAAACGCGTGAAAAGATGTGCGCTGTCTCAGAATGAGAAGATTATTATATTAAATGTATTTAATGCATTGAAACACCAAAATCCTACCAACAGTGTTGACGACATCGTGGAAAAGTGTTCCAAAATGACAGGGATTGGAAAATCGACTATCTACAGACTTTTAAAGGAAACAAAAAATGAACAAGATACTGTAAATCCCCCAAAATCATCTACAGGGAGGTCAAAAGTCGTTATAGATGATTTCTTCAAAAATGTCATTCGCAGAAAAGTACACTCATTTTATTTTAAAAAAGAAATACCAACGCTAAACAAAATTTTAAGTGAACTTTCAGAGGACAACGATTTGCCAAAAATCAGTAGAAGCAAATTATGGGCCGTCTTACGAGAGTTGAATTTTTGCTGGGAAAAGCAGAACAGGAAGTCAGTTCTTATCGATAAAGATGAAATTATTTGTTGGCGAAGATCCTACTTAAGATCAATTAGAAAATTCCGTGACGAAGGGAGGAATATTTATTATCTAGACGAAACTTGGGTCAACGAGGGATATACTGTAACAAAAGTATGGCAAGATAAAAATGTAAAAAGTTTTCGACAAGCATTTTTGGATGGACTTTCAACAGGGTTCAAGGCACCTTCAGGTAAAGGGCGAAGATTAATAGTGACACATATAGGTAGTGCCAGTGGTTTTGTAGATGGCGGTTTACTTTTATTTGAATCTAAAAATACAGGTGACTATCACGAAGACATGAACGCAGATGTTTTCGAAGAGTATTTTACACAGATGTTGGATCTTATTCCTCCGGGGTCTGTAATTGTCATGGATAATGCCAGTTACCATTCACGGCAGACCGAGCGGACGCCTACGACTGCTTGGAGGAAAGCCGATATAATTCAATGGTTATCCGGAAAAAACATTTCTTTTGAAACAAATATGGTGAAAAAGGAACTTTTGACACTTGTCAATCTTAATAAAGATCAGAAAAAATATGTTATCGATGAAATGGCAACAAATCGCCAAATAACGGTACTACGGTTACCACCTTATCACTGTGAACTTAACCCAATCGAATTAGTCTGGGCGCAGGTAAAAGGAGATGTAGCGCGAAATAATACGACGTTTAAATTAAGTGACGTGAAAATTTTGTTAAAAAATTCCTTGGAACGAGTAACTGCAGATAACTGGCAAAGATGTATACATCATGTACAAAAAGAAGAGGAGAAAATGTGGGAACTCGATAATTTAATTGACGTTACTGTGGAACCTATCGTTATCAATCTAGGAGACGAAGATAATTCATCAGAATATTCAGAGGATGAATTTTAATATACCTACTTTTTTATTTTCTTTATTGTACATTTATACAACACTACATTTACTCACCATAATTTGAATTTTCAAAATACATATATTTTTGTGTGGAATAAAAGTCTATTCATTAAATTTAAATAAATATTTTGATAATAATATTGAATAATTTTATTTGAATTACTAAAAACCCTCTTAACCCGGTTATGATGCTTAAAGTAGCCTCATGTTTTGAAATGCTGTTTTTATATTGTTTACTTATAAGAGAAATGGACCGAGAAATTGAAGCGGCATAGACAAAGACGGATTGTCGGGGATTAAATTTTAGCTACCTGCTACAATTTAGTACAGTTCGATCGCACAAAGTTTTGTTAAAAGTACACCTCATCCATACCGATAAAACATAATATAAAAATATTGAATATAAGCACCAGTACTACATTTATTTACGATTTACATACATAATGAGCTTTTATTACTCTCTTTCATTTCTAAACAGATATAATAAACAAAGGAATTTGGAAAGATAGTTGTAAGAAAATTAGTTGTAAAAGTGTTAGTTATTAAGATGTGAAACTGAAAGTGGCGTAAACCGAATTCATATGTTTAAACGTACAATATGTGAAAAAAATTTCCATATAATATGGATGTTTTAAAACATTTCCAAAAAAATCCTTGGTAGTCATTTGGTTAACATAAATCTATACAACAGCCAAAAATGCCCAGTGTCGCATGGAGTTTCAGTTAAGTTCGAGCCATGTAAAATTAAACGTTACTCTAAAACAAAATAAATCAATCAATTTGATTGTATTGAAAAATAACCTAAAAGAACTTCAAAGTAGTGAATTTCTAAAGAGAAACTGAATCAAGTACAAAAATAAACAAACAAGTTTACCCGGGATATCCAGGAGAATCCAAAGAAGATGGAATGGTCAAGTCCAAATGAATAAAAAAGGGTATCAAGAAATTTATCAAAAAAAAAATCTGCACGAAAGTCAGCTGTCAAAGATCGGACTGGAATTTCAAATTGTAAACAAGAAGTAGTCTACTTCTATTGCATGGAACTATTATAAGGTAAACAGTGGCACAAGAAAAAGACCAGTGAAATCAAAATACCAAGTGGAATAAATAAAGACAACCACTAAATCAAGATACAGAGTGGCTCAAGGAAGAGTAAAAGGTAACAAGAGAGAATTAGCGACTGATAAGATTGAGATAAAATGAGAATTAATATTTGTAAAGTAGTTTAATAATATAATATTTGCAAATTAGTGTAGCTTTTTCCAGTTTTTTTTCTTCAAATAAAATTATAAAAATAAAACATCGTTTTGAAATTGAAAAATATTAAAAAAAAATTAAATAAAAAATAATAATTTAAAATAAACTAAAAAGTGAACATTAAATTCAAAGATAGTAAAGCTTTTTGTCTGTGTGAGAATTCGTTTCTGAGCAAGTCTAAAAAAATAAACAAAACAGTACAAAAACTTCCAAATTTGTAACAACCCGTATTTTTCCATATATAAGGTATTTATTTTCGTGGGTTCTGGTGTGACAGTAGGTTACAAATGATGAAAGAAACAGCAGCGAGTTTTTTACTTAACGATCCGTTCCTAATCACTCAGGAACTTTTTCAAAAGAATTTTGTCAAATTTATTATATAAAAGTTAATTAATTAAAACCTAAACAACCATTCTATGTAATTTTTTCTTTAACATGCATCAAATATTCAAAATTATAGTAGACTCTTTTAAAATGAGTTCATTAACAAATTATTATCGATCCCTAATTAATTTTATTTATAAACTAAACAGTGTCACATGTTTTGCAGAAGAAGGAAAGTAAATAAATAATAAATGCTTATTTAACACTTAACGTAGGTAACATATGCCACCTTTAGAACTGAATGAAATGAATCGAGGAATATCCTCGATGATGAAAAATACTTCATAATTGCACACCCACGAGCACGGTACTCATTCTCGCTTGTAGTACTATCATTCGCTTGGTATTTCATTCACTCGCATACGTAGCAATATTGTTGCTTATAAACACTATAAACAATTATGTGGGAGTAATGTACGTTGAAAAACAGTTTGTAATATACTTATGAATATGGGGGATATAGCTCAGTGGTAGAGCATTCGACTGCAGATCGAGAGGTCCCCGGTTCAAACCCGGGTGTCCCCTAAAATATGTTTTTAGTTTTGCATATTATTTAATATTTTTTAAATAATGCAAAAGAATATACTGTTAGCAGTTTTCTCAAATAGTTACACTTTTAATATATAATTCAATTCAATTCATTAACAGTGATGATTGATTCATAATCTACTAAAATTTATTCAGAATGAAATTGAAACATTAAGCCAAAAAGCCATATTTTTACTACGTCAACCTGTCAATCTGCAATAAACTGTCTTCAGAACTCAGATATAATTTTTTTAATAAAAATAAATAATTTCATAAAGCATTTTTAAAAATTATGGAGTGAAAATTATATTTAGTATATAGGGTGTTACAATACTGGTGGCATACGGACAGTGGAATGGCAACCTTAAAGATAAACGAAAATTTTTGTTTAGCTTAGAAGATATTGAATTTTGAAAAGTAAATGAAACTGAAAAATTTTGGAAATAAGGTAAATATAAAAAAGAATTATAACAGCTATCTGAAAAATGATTTCCCGCAAGCCTTCTAAGTTTAATACTGGTATATTGTGTACCAAAAACCTCACAAAAAAGTCACGTGGAGTTGGGTCTTAAGAACGAGAAGATCGAGTAAGAAATTTCGTGAGATATAAAGCAAAATTAGGACCTTCGCTATAAACATCATATTTTGCCGGAAATTAAGCGCTGCGCCATTAAAATACCTAGAAGCTCTTTTTGTAAAAAGACTAAATAATTGTCTACGTTTAATACGTCGATAAAATCTAAATAAAATAAAAAGAGAAAATGAAAATGATAAGGTAAAACGAATAAGATTGGAATTGGATATTCTCCTATTAATCCACATTATACTTTTAAAGTAAAACGTTGTTGATAATATAAAATTGTCAATCACAAAACGCACGCCGAATTAGATAATCAATCATCTCTTGTAAATGTAACAAATAACAGAAAATATGTATAAAGGAAAATATTTATTATATCATTTACATAACTGTTGATATCTTCAATAAATACAAATGTGCTAAATAGTAAAACTGTAGATACTACATTATACAACAGAATATATAAATTCTAAAATAGCAGAAAATTGTACGAGAAAATAATAAACATACGTTTCACGCACAATAAAATATTACAACAAATAACTCGACAAATGACACTTAGACCATTGAACAATGACTTGGATTACCACAGTTATCACGATAAAATATATTGTTGATAAAAACGCATACTGTATTACTCACAATATTCAACCAGCGTCCGCTAGAGGTACAGTGAACTATCATGCTTGATTCCAATTTTACAAGCCTTTTGGAGCCACCCTTTTACCGTACTACTACTAATATTGACATTTTTGTAGTAACTAATATTTGCATTTTATGGATCAGATTTATTGTTAATTTTGCAGGTTTTAAAAAATTCTATACACATTCATAAAATTAGCAGTACCTAGCTGAAAATATTTGTATCAAGATTTATTCACTTCTGCATTTATGCCGTAATAGAAACAAATTATTTTCAGGTTTGGGATGCCATGGATTAACTCCGGATGTAAGCGGCCTAACCCATCTACACGTAGCCATCAAAACTGAGTTACAGCGACACATAGAAGCCTACAAAAGCGCCCTTCATCGATTGGAGGAACTAGGTCTGGCAGCTTCGGACAACAAGAGACCTGTAGACGCTTCTCATCAACGATTGCTTTCTCTACGCCTTTCCGACGTTCAGCAAAGACTTATCGATAATAAAACCGTTTTAACGATTTTGGATAAACCTGCCCTGAAACAACTAGGACCGTTAATTGAGACTCTCGCCACCAGAGTGCAAAATGACAAGGAAGCACTATTCAGCATTTCACAGTTGAAAAGGTAGTTATAATTATTCATACACGGTGTATGTATACTCGACTATCTCTCTAACTTTGTACAAAAGTTTTCTAACACCTGATAATTTCAAAAGAAGTACACATTTTATAGCGATTCCACAATAACTAGGAATTACTACTTTTAACAATTTTATCCATCTTTCTTAATTTGCTATTTGACAAATATTTCGTAAACCAAATATTACAGTTCCTATTCTATTTAGCCGGTATTTAAATTTAACCGATTCGAGAGAAACCAGTGATATCATTAATCCCTCTTTATCGGTGTTGTCAATCATTTCAACTCATTTAACACATAACCTCGTCTAGTAATACTTGCATCATCAGCAAACTGATAAAATAATAAGTATTTTATTTTATTCAACCAACGGGATAAACAATTAGTTATAGGATTAGCACATAAACAACGAAAAAACATTACAAAATATAAAACAATTAAATGTGTTAAAAACACATTAACGGATATTAGATATACTAAAGACTATTACACAATATTAGTGCAACGCTGAAGACTATGGAGCCATTAGAAATGCTACATCAGATCAGGATTTTTCCCTAACATCAAAAAATAGGTCAAATTTAGTGGAAGTCTCAATTTTTTGTTAACTGTTTGAAATTAAAGTACACAGACGTATCAATAGCATTTCAGAAAGAATAAATGTTTTTCAAAAAGTATCATTTGCATTTAAAAAAGCATTAAATATATTTCAGACATTTACTAATTACAATTACTATTATTAAGTGTTCCACTTTTAATACTACGTTATTTGAATAATGAAATAAAAAGATTCATTTTAATATTTATTGATATCAATTTGAGAAATCAGAAATATTGCGTTGTTGAAGAACGTGCGAAAACGAACTTGCGTAGCAAGTTTATCTCCGTGTCCTAATAGTCCATAATTATATGTGGAGCTATCTCAGATTTGTTAATTTAAAAATAAGACTATTTAAATAAACTTATTTCTATCCAAATTTGACCCGCTAAACCGCTAATAGAATTCGACAAAATTTTTAATTTTCAAATAATCACAAAGATAAGTGCCTTTTTCGAATTTGCTTTCTGTTTTACTAGTAAATTTTTTATATTCATAATGGTTTTGGCGTAATTGTTTATTTTATTAGTTCACTAATACTTATTCGACGCAAATTTGATACCATTATTGGAAATTATCAGCATTTTTGGTAAAACATAATTCAGTAAAAAAGAAGATTGGATTGGAATTGTTATATTTTTGCGAATTTGGCTTTCTGTGGTTGTTCTTATTCGAGGAGCGTTACCTTAGCTAAATTCGATACAAATTACTGAATTACATGTTATTGAATATGGCGACCATTTTAATAAAAATAAATAAAATAGTCAATGACAATTACAAATGTTTACTTACGATGAAAGAATTTCCTATTCCTGAAAACTCAATACAAATAGTAGCATACCAAAATTTATTTAAATCGGATACAGCTTTTTAAACTTACCTAGGTACCTGAAAAAAAAATTTTTTTTGTTCTCTAACGGCTAAACAAAGCAAGCTGTATCAAAAGTAATTCTTATTTTAACTCCAAGAATCTGTGAAAATACTGCATACCCATAATAAATTCTGCAATAATTTTGATATTTTCTGATATATCAAATTATAAAATTCAGGTTTAATACAGTTTAAATGGTCTTTAGAAAAAATATTTTAATTTAAAATTCAAATTTCGTTTACATGTACGAAAAAGAGGTAGAACCTTCTAAATAAACTGGTTTTATATTAATTAAAAATCAATATCGCATTTATAATCAGTTTGTTAGTGTATCTAAACATCTAATAATTTATTTTGATCAAACAGGTAGTGAATAAATAAATATTTGATGATTACACAGTCCCACAAAAAAAGAAAAGTAGTCTATTCCAAATATTAAACCTATGCATTTTTAAATATTCTGAAGCGCCGAATCCGGGACCAGAATTGCTTCATCACCCTCTATTTTTTTTTAATCGCAAAAACTGCCCGTAATTACAGAAAATATGGAAAATTATGTTTTTCAAAACAAGAGGAAGGTCAACTTCGTCTTTCATCCCTGTTTCTTATATCTATGGGATATTGGGGACAGAAAGAATTAATTTGAACAGAAAGTATGGCCAAAAAGAACACAGTTCCACCCAGGTTGAAAAACATCATACGCCAACCCTTAGTTGATCCTTCAAATATTCTGCTTCCACTCCAAGAGAATGAACGTTTTACCATGATATTATGGAAATGGAGCGTCGGTATCAAGGAAGGTGAAATGTTAATATAACGTAAACATGAAGTTTAAAACGAAAAACAAGCCAAAAACAAAGAATAGAGAAAGATGCATAGATCATTTAAAGATAAAAGAAATCGCTACAAAAGCAGAAAGGAGAAAGGAGTAAAAGTAATCAATTTTTATCTAGAAATGATGTTCAGATCTTCGAATAATTTCTCTTTGCGGGCATCAAATAGCTGAAATTGATCTCAGGGAAGAGGCATTTCCCAGATTTTAGGGTTATTTCGCACGGTAGAGAAATACTAGAGGATGATAAAGTAATTTCAACTTACTTCGGATTGGGCGTCAGCACGTCAAAATACTTATAGACATGGTCCTGGAGTAACTTTCATTCTTTTTTTACAATTGTCCCAAATGGTATACACCCTTAGAGTAGGATTTTCGATATTTTCGGCCATTTAAAAAAACTGGGGGTGATGGAGCAATTAGGATTCGGATTCAGCGTACGAAAATACATACAAACATGGTCTTGCAGTCATTTTAGTCGGTTTCTACAATTATACCTAATGCTGGTTCCTCCAAAGCGAGATTTTTGGTATTTTCTGAATTTAAGATAGGCTCTTCGTGATTTAAAAAAAAATGGAGGGTCTTGGTGCAATTCTGGTCCAAGAATCGGATTAAGCGGGTCAAAATACATAAGGATACATAGGGTCATTCTTTGGAACAGATCACTTTTCTTTTTTGTATGCCTGTGACTTTTCCATATTTTCTGTACTTAAGGGCGATATTCCGCAATTTAAAAAAAATGGACGGTGATGGGGCAATTCTGGCATTCGGATTAAGCGCGTCAAAATACATAAGGATACATGGTCTAATCTTCTCATCTTTGGAACAGACCAGTTTTCTTTTTTCCTTGTGGGACTGTGCTATCTTTAATGATATTGTTTGATGAACACTAATATTCCTTTAAAATGATCATTGTATCTACTTCTTTCTCTGGAAACTACTAGTGAACTGTGGGTACCTTACAGCTTGACTAAATTCATTGTCCAAAGGTTTCAAATACGCATAGGTAATTTACCCATATATTTAAAAATATAATATAAAACCTACATTGAATACTATATTGAACAGACCCAAATAGAAGTTTTGCACAGAAGAAACAAGAAACCTGTCATACTATTGAGGTCTTGTTTTTGTCACTCCCACTGTGGAGTCTCTTGTAAAACGTCTGTCACCGTAATGAGAAAAATGTGCAGAATCCGAAATGCGAAAATCCAATTTGGTGTAACTATTCTTGACTAAGCTTTATTGGCGGATTCTACTGAAAACAAATAAATAACAAAGAAAGTTCTCATAAACATGAGTCCGAAAACTTCATTTCCGATATACAAGATGTTCAAAATTAATATAAACATGTTTATTTCAAGTTGCAAAAATAGTTGAGAAAAGCCGCATAAATAATAGTCAATTTTATTCATAAACAACCTGGTATAGTCCTTCCGAAGTCAGTTTAATATGCAAAAAAACGTCTGGTAATAAAATTTAATGAGTTTCATAGGCGTCCCTAAAAAAATTTTCTGCTAAAGGTAAAAAATTATAATAATTTGTATACAATGTGTAGAAAATTTCTATTATAAGTTGATTTGACCAACAACATATTTTAATTATTTATGTCCTCAAATAATTTTATTATATTGGTGGTAAATTTCGTTTTGTTCCATTTCAAAAGGTCTCCAAAATGCCATGTTGTGATAATATTAGTAAACAAAATATCCCACTTATTTCTTCCTTTCGCAATTGTAATATGAATGATTGATAGAAGGTGCCTATAATAAATTAAAATTGCTTGATTCACACCAAATTCCGCACTGCCGCACTGCACTGCTGGGAAATTTATGAACCACTTGTCACCTGCTGTGATTTATTGTCCAGAAGCCCAATACAACTGTACTCGTTTTACTTTGGCCGCACTCGCATTCTTCAACTGAGCATATATACATTTTTACCAGCTGCACGTTTAGTTTTACCAGACCTCTGTATGAGTATGGCTAAATAAACATGGGAACAAGTTTTTCAAATATTTCAATGCCGGTTGCTTCGTAGCGACCGAGCCTGGTACATACCTTGAAGCTTCAATTGATTGACTTCGGAAAAACTATAACTGCAATTGTTATATCAAATATAATTTAATGTTTTGTCGATTTTGGCAATAATTATACATATTTAGTATTTCATCATTTAACTCGAAAGTGGTGCATTTTAACAAGAAGTAATAAAACATTTCTCATAGTATCGGGTTTTTGAGCTAACTTGGAAATAAAATATGAAAGAAATTACTGTTCTCGCCTGGAACGACACCGACACATATTTATCGAAACTTTTGTTGTTGATTATGGTGTCATTAAAGTCATATCTGGAAGATTCCTTTCAGCACATTTTTCATACCCTATTTTCAAATTGACTCTACTATCCGCTAAAAGCTGGAATCGTCTCTAAAATAATAAGTCTACATAGGTGTAATTAATTCGCAAAATGAAAGTAGGGATAGTCTCTTGCGCTAGTAAATAGGATCCCTTTTTACTCATTGGACTGGAATCGTTACTAAAGTCAGTGCTGGAATATATTACTACAATATATTTCGTTACTAGAAGCCAATATTGGACTTTTGTAATTTGTACAAGTTGCAGGCATCGTGTACAGCTGTTCTATATTTGCAATATTATAACCGACAAAAGAAAAAATTTTTAACTAGATAGAATTTTGTTAAACGACTATAGACAGAAAGAAATGGTAAGTTTACACTATTTATTTACAGTTCTCAGAAATATCGAGCCAATATTAAAAGAAGTAGTGGAAGCTCTTTCTGTACGTACTACTTTCAAAAATTACAATATTTTTCATTATTTTACATTGACATTGACCCCTCTAAACTTGAATACAATTTAGTAAATATCAACTTTACCTTGACATTCAATTATATATGAATTGTAAATTTAATTAAAGTTAGGTACATTAAGAATTACTGCTATGATTATTCGCCATCCCTCACCCTCATCTCCACAACTGGCAATTTCGTCAGGCGTACCTACATTTCCTAAACGGGCTGATCTAGTCGTTGTTCCAGACTCCAACCCGTCGAGGATGAGAAACCGGTGGCAACAGTATTGATGTCCTTTTCCCGCGGCTGTGGCGCCCTCTTGGAGCTCATGCACACACCCGAGAGCCCCTGCAATAGTGACACCGGATACCATTCGGAGACCGAAACGGAGCATGAATTGGGGTGAGTGAAATCGAATAACCAGGGGAAAGTTCGTCCCGTAATTGGTTTAATCGGATATACGTATGCGCCTAATGGAACCCTAGATGTGGGGAAACACTGAAACGAAAGAGGATTTTCTTTGACATATATCCTATGAATTTATCAACCGTAAGTCGTTTATGCTGGATAAATGTACAGGGTTGTGATAAACTAGCGGATATAATACTAAATCTCAAACGAATTTCAATTTCTCCCAAAATTAAAAAGTATTCAATTTAATTTTATCACCAGAAACACTAGAAAAATTGTTTTTTTAATCTTAGGAAAGTGATTGTAGGTGTAGGAACATCCACAATACGCAATCGACGAACAAGGAAAAGCAATAATTTCAAATATGTCAAACCAATTGCAAATGATGCTATTCTTTAAGATTAGTAATATACTAGAATTCCGTTTTATAACTGATTATTTATATTTTTTCAAAACATGTGGGGCCCTCTAGCGCCCTTACGGTGCATTCTTGCATACAGGTAAATTAGCGTAAATCGTTGCAGTTTGACCTTAAGAATCTAGGGTGGCTGCTAGTACATGCATTTCAGGGACACCTTGTAGTGTTTATAGCGCGACTTATAGTGTAATCGTGATTTTCTCAGTGTGAGATATTCGTGATTGGGCAAAACTAGACTTATAAAACTGAACTTATAACACAAAACTATTTATTTAATTTTTCTTGTCAATGTGGAAAAAATACTAACAAATAAATAGTTATAAAAAACAACAAATAAATAGTTATAGACAGTAAGTACAGCTTGAATTTACTGCACCAGTATCAGAAACAGTTGAAAATTTATTTCTAGGCCGCAAACGTATACAGGGTGTAAGAAGTATGACTGTCGTAACTTCAGCATGAGGTAGAGTAATCATAAATAAACAAAAAAGTTGTATATTACAGGGGAGTAGGATTAACAGTTTTCAAAATACAGCGAGTATTAATATTGGGGAGTTTCATCACGACGTGACAACAGCGCTTAACCTGCTGATGCACACCACGTGTACACGCGGCAGACTTGGCCTACGGAAAAAATGTAAACAGCTATTATTGTGAGACATTTAGTAAATTTCAACACAATTGTTTTCCAGTTTTTAAATAAATAAAATAAAATGCATCGATTTTGTAGTATGAAGATAGTGTTGTGGTTAAATTTTAGCTCGAATTTTAGTAAATATGAATCTCTTAAAACAGAAACTTAATTTTTAATCAAATTATGAATTTGAAAAATATGTGATTAAAAGATTTACGTCGTCCAAATAATCATACGTATTAAAAATAATTTAGATACTTACCAAAAAGCAAAATTCAGTAATTTTTAAACGCACAAGTACAAAACAAACTACAACATATGCTCAAAATGTCCACCACCATTTTCAATGCACGCACGACACCTTCGAATCCAATTTTCGCGCATTCGCTAGAAAATTATCACGTATGGTAAACATTTTAAAAAAGCAAGAAGAAACACCTCAAAAGCAGGAAATGAATTGCGTATTGCTGGTTGCTGGACTGTTAGTACCGCGCCGTTGTCACATTGTTCGATATGAATTTTATCGAATTTTAAATTTATTACAATGCCAATTATTATTTTTTAGAATTAAGCATAAAGAAGTTAAAAAAAGTGATAAACGTTGTATTTTATTGTATTCTATGCACGCAGTTATGTCAATATTCCTTAACAAATTGAACTTTTGGACATCAAGTTGGAGATTTTGATTAATTTTTTTCTCGGAAATGGTTGAGTTTAGGACCCATGTCATATAAGGTGTTTTTTTGTTTATTTTAATGTATTCTATCTTCTGTTAATATTAAGGTAGTCAATCTTCTAACACCCTGTATATTTTTGCTCCTAGAGTTCGACCAAAGGAGGAGCTTCCCTCTTAAAAATTATTTTGGCCGTAAATAATATATGCTTTGATATTCATTTAAATATTTTAGATATATCTAAACACAAAAAACGTACTGGATTTCAGTGTCAGAAATTGTCAGTGCAATGCTTTGTTTTATGTTCTTCACTTGTCACTGTTCTTCGGTTAATGGAATATATTATGTGTTATGTGGAAATATTTATTTATTACTCTATTATCGGCAAAATGGATTTTATTACTGAATATTGTTTTGATTAGTTTTTTCTAAAATCCACTTTATTTATTAACATTCTATTACCTACCTCTTTTTTATATATAATTTAACTTACGTTGTGGGTCTATAACACTAAAAAAAATTAAACTTTTCTCTAAAACTTTTATGTTAATTTTGAAATAACTGTATTCGGGATTTAAAAAAAATTGTGATCGTAACCGTTTATGTGAATTTAATATCACCTTGTAAGCAAAATTGACTGGCAGTATTCACAAATAGATAAGTACAAAAATTTCCTCATATGGAATAGGATACATAATTAAACAATTTTTATTTTTTGGATTTTAATTAAATCTTGTACGTTTTTAGAACTTCTCCGGCGGATACAAATAAATTGTAACCTGTTAATGTGTAACGTACACAGTACCATTTATACAAATCGTAGATAATTTAAAGAAACAACAGAAAATAAAAATCAATCAGAATTTAAGGCTCATAATATGCAATTATTAACGTTAATGACAATAAGTTTGTATAGAACATGTAACTGAAAGGATTGACTTTTCTAATTCCTAGCTAAAATGAAACTTGTTATGAAAATAGGAAATATTTTCTTTGTATTTCACATACTTGTATTCTTCCATGTTATAAATTCTATCACCACCGGTATCGACCATCCCACACTGGCGTAGATCTGGATTATTCTCTTCCTCGTTATTTATGTTTAGTCAGGGTGAAAATGTAATTCTAGAAACAGCTTGATCCATCTTTAAATATACCATTATGCTTTATGCCTAATATTTACGGAACTAGTAAGCTTTACAATTTGTCTGTTCTATTATATTTAAATGGGCGGCGGAAGTACCCAATTAATAAAAAAATAAAATTTAATTTTTTTTCACATCCGACTTTAAACTCAATCTTATTTAATTCAACAGGAATTCCTACTGGAAATTTCGAATTCTGAGCTTAAGCATGGTATTCCCAACTGAAAAACTTTCAATTTGGAATTGATACTTTATTCCTATAGAAATTTTCGAATTTTAAATTTAAGGTTCCTAAATTAGAATTAGTACTTTTTATAGGTAATCTAAACTTAGTAAAAAATTTGAGTTTATGTAATGTTAGTCAATAGGAATAATTTTTTCCATACCTCGATTTTGGATAAGAGTCTGGATAAGTTTACACTCACTGTCCAGAGACTTCCGCTCTGGTTATTGAACTGCAAGGTATCCGAGTCGAAGTTCGATAACAGTTTGGGGTGGCTTCGCGAATTCTCGATTCGAAACATAGGTCAAAATTTTGATTTCAGCTCAGTGTCTTCTGCTTCTCAGGAATAGTGAGCTAGATGCCTTAGAACATTGGTAACTAGTTTAAGCAGCTTTTTCGCTCTGCAAACGGCTTCATAGGTCAAATTCGAAAGTTGACTGAAATTCGAAATACACTCAACACTTGAATATGATTAGGAGAAAAATTAACATTCATTTTCCAACAACCTCACAAAATTTGGTGACAAAAAAATCAATCATTATGAGATCAATCAAGTAGTAACGTTAAAATCCATTATTTTAAATATTTTATACTTCTCGTTGGCACCATATAAAAGGTGAATGAACTTTAGTAATCAGTTTTAACCGATATTGTTATTATTATTGTTAATGTTATTGTTATCAACGTAATTATTATTGTTTTCTAGTTGGAAATATCAATTTTATTGACAGGTAATGTGTGTGTTTATTTATTCTTGAGTAGGTATTTATTAATTTAATTGACCTTAAACAACTTTGTATATCTTCGCTAACTGATGACAGGAAATGGGATGGATGATGTATGGCTGGAAGACGAATAGATCAAACAGTCCGAGAAAGTTCTAACTAGTTTAATCGGATATATGTTCTAATGTAACTCATGATACAGGAAAGTTTTCGGAAAAATTCTTCCCTTCCGAAAACAATTAGGTTTTCGCTGATATTTGATGGTTAAATGGATTGCCGAGTAATGGTCAATTTTAAGTCATTTAGGAGATCCATTCTTTTTAAACAATAAATATATATTTTATATTTATATTATTATATTTGACTTTAAAAAACTAACGTCTTTTGCAGTTAAACTGATTCGACATCTTCCTTATTTAAGAGAAGTAATCATACAATTAGTATTAGTTCATTACTTAGGAAACATTTCTTTATAAAATTCTTAAATAATATTTACACAATGGCAATGGCATGTAATTTTAAATAATTTGCGCTTACTTGAAACGAAAATGAAGAATTATGTTTTGTCTTACAATTATTATTTTAAGAAAAACACCTCATATTATCCAACTTAATACCACCTTAACTTTACCATGGTGATTGCCAAATTATTAAATATTGTGCACACAAAATTTCATTTATTTAATATTCTCTTATTTTGAAAACATCAACACCCTGTATCTCAAAAACGTGAACAAGTTTGTATAGTCATTAAGTATTTAGATTTATTCTGTTGTTTTCTCAATTTTGGTAGTCAGTATTCAAGAACCCTGAATGTGCGAATATCGTAAGAGTATATAAATTCTTTTTCAGTTCATGAACGACCATCCACGTCACCTGGAAAAATATTTAAATGTGTGAGAAAGGGGAAATCATTATTTAGGTTCAGCAGCGTAGCGTTAATGGAAGGACTGCTTTCATGATCCTGCATGTTTTGCATACAAAATAAAGGACTTTTAGTAAACTTTCCCCCTACCTTATTTTAGTTTTTGAATATACGAGTACTATAAGAAATAACCATTTCAATATAGGCACATTTTGTTAACACGATGTATTGCACATTATCGTGATAAAATGTATATATATTACTTAAAGAAAAAAAAATAATGCTGTAAAGCATACATAGAATTGGG